CGGGCCTGAGTGAAATGAGACCTGTGAGGGAGCAGGTACACAGGCCTGAGTCCCAGGTCCCTTGCTCGTGAGCTTCCCCACGCCTGGATCACTCTTGCCCAGTCCCAGAGAGGAATCCACCACTCTCCCAAACCTATTACCCACCGCCTCCTTTCTCCTGTGTTTTCAGCCTTTCCCCAGACTCTTCCAGAAGGTTTTAAATAAGTTCTAGTCTTTTTCATTTTTTTTTTAAGACCGGGGTAGTGGCGCACATCTTTAATCCCACTACTCGGAAGGCAGAGGCAGGCAGGTCTCTATAAGTTCCAGGACAGCTAGGCCTATAAAGTGAGACCCTATCTCCAAACAAACAAACAAAAAGATTTTTTGGAGCCATGTCACACCCCTGTGGTATTGCACACCGCCTCCCCCTTTTCCTAGCTGAAGATCCTGAAGGAATTGGCTCCTTCCTCCCACTCTACAAACATCCCTGGCTAAGGAGGACATTAAGTCCCTAAATGTTCCCAGCTCTCTCTCTCTCTTTGGTCTCCCGGCAGCTTTGGGTCCCTCAACTCTCCCTCCTTGCCATTTCTGGGGATTGCTATCCCTCCGTGTTTCCTCTTGCCTGCCCTTTTCCAGCTTCTTTGTCAGCCGGTCCTCCACATCTGATCCTCAGATCCTCACAGCTGGGTCCCAAGCTGCCTCTTCACCCTCTTCATACCGGCTTTTTTTTTTTTTTTTTAAACTTAGCTTCTTCCAAACTCACAGCCTTGGGGATCTTCCCTAGCCAGAACCTCACGAGACCCGTGTTTTGGTCGCGCAGTGTCTGCTCCCACTTCAAACTCAACACAGTTAAAGCCAGGTGTATATTCCTCCTTCTCTCACACTGGTCCCCCTCCCAGCCTCCCCTCTTAGCACACCGTACTGCACCTCCCCTCCCCCCCATCACCAAACCCTTCCTTCTCCAGGTGCCTTTGACTTGCTCATTTCTCCCCACTTCCAACACCGTTTTCCTAGTCCAAGGCTCCGAGCTCCCCCACCTCCCCCACTACAACAGCCTCCTGAGCAGCCTCTCCAGTCACATAGTAAACAACAGGAGCTTTGCAAACTGCAAATACAGTCACGGAGTCTGCTCCTTGTGACTCAAATTTGCAGAATTAAAGCAAGCTGGGCTCAGAGATCTTTCTAGGATCGCATCACTTCACTTGTGCTCCGTGCCCTCTAGCCATTCTGGCTTTCTTTCAGTTCCTTGAACACCAACCTCCTTTCTGCCACAGGACATTTGATTGTACCGTTCACTCTGTATAGAACTGTGTTATTGGTACCAGGTATGGTGGGACGTGTCTTTGATCCAAGTCCTTGAGAAGCAGAGGCAGACAGATGTTTGTAAGTTCGAGGCCAGCCTGATCTCCATAGTGAACTGGGTTGTCTATGGCCATGATCACTGGCCATATGTGGCTGGCTATTGAGCACTTCAAATATGGCCACTGGGCAACTGAAAAAATTGAATTCTTAGTGCTGACTGAATGGTGACATTTAAAACTTAAAAATATTCAATTTAATTACTACAGAAATTATTCCTAAAACAACTTGAGTATGCAAATCTCTTGCTTCATTCAGTCTTGGTTTGTATGAAGTCTAAATACAATTTAAGTTTCTGGCAAAAATTTTAGTGACAGAATGATATTCTACTATATGTATAAACATATGCACAGAATGTGGGAGACTTAGTTAAAAATGTGAACGATTTCTCTAATAATCATTTATGTTAATGACATACTATGGTCGGTGATGACACGCTTTTAATCCCAGTACCCCAGAGGCAGAGGCAGGCGGATCTCTGTGAGTTCGAGGCCAGCCTGGTCTACAGAGTGAGTTCCAGGACAGCCAGGACTACACTTGAGAAACTCTGTCTTGAAAAACAAAACAACAACAAAAAGGCAGTATTCTGCCTGCATTTGCTTAGGAAACCAGTGTTGGGCTAGATGCATCGTGGCTCCTAGGCAATTTGAAATTCCATGTGGCTCACAGATGTCTTCTGGACACATGGCTCTAACACTGCCTTTCCTTGGTGCAGGCTTTCTCTCTGCCTCTTGGAGCCACTGAATGAGCAGCCCCGCTCTGCCACACCCTGATGCCTCTGTAACCAGGAATGGAACCCAGAGCATCCAAGGACATACAGGCAACAGCAGCCGGTGCTTCAGAAACACAGGCCACCCAGAGTTCCTCGATACCCTGGGAGCTGCCTATCTGATATCCCTCCCCACAGCTCCCTTGTAGACCCCCTTTGCCCCAAAGACAAGGTGTCTTTTGTGATGATATCTCACACACTTTCTTTAGTTTGCTGGTTTGAGATATATACATATATATATATATCTGTGTGTGTGTGTGTGTGTGTGTGTGTTTAGGTGCCGGAAGAGTTTAGAAGTGTGTCAGTTCCTCTGTTTTTAACAGTTGAATTCATCACTCCAGCCCCTAGCTTGCTTTGTATTTGTTTGCTTGGTTGGCTAGTGGGTTTTTTGAGACAAGGTCTTATGTAACTCAACCTGGCCTCAGTCTGACTATGCAGTTGAGGATGACCTTGAACTCTCTACCCTCCTGTCTCTGACTCCCAAGTGCTGGGATGGCACGTGCGAGCAGCATGGTCTTGGCTTATATTTGTTTATTTGTTTTTGGTGGTTCTGAGCATTACTTTTGGAGTCTCAAGCATGCCAGGCAGGTGACCTACTACTGACCCCCATGTATGGTTGATGGCTTCATAACTAAATCTTTTTCTGTCTTCCCCACCTTTAAGAACTTTAACCTTTTAAAAAAAATTTTGAAGATTTTAAAAAATTACATTGTTTATTTACTGATTGTGTGTGTGTGTGTGTGTGTGTGTGTGTGTGTATCCATGTCTCTGTGCGCATGTGGAGGTCAGAGGATAACTTTCAAGAGAGTCACTTCTCTCCTTCCACCATGTGAGTCTCAGATCAGATACAGATCCTCTGGCTTGGTGGCAAGTACCTTCCTTGGCTGAGCCCTCTGGCTGGCCCAAGACTTTAATCTTTAGCTTAAATCCTACTCATTCTTCAGAACAGGAGAGCCTGTTCTGAGAAGCCACCCTGGGATAAAGTCTTTGATTTTAGGTTTCTTTGTGTAACAGCCCTGGCTGTCCTGGAACTCACCCTGTAGACCAGGCTGTCCTCGAACTCACAGAGATCTGCCTGCCTCTGCCTCCTGGGTGCTGGAATTAAAGGTGTGCACCACCACTGCCTGGCTAAAAGTCTTTGATTTTTTTTTAAATATTTACTTATTTATTATGTATACAGAAGAGGGTGCCAGATCTCATTACAGATGGTTGTGAGCCACCATGTGGTTGCTGGGAATTGAACTCAGGACCTCTGGAAGAGCAGTCAGTGCCCTTAACCTCTGAGCCATCTCTCCAGCCCCCAAGTCTTTGATTTTTGTCTCATTGGTTTTTTTGTTTTGTTTTGTCTTCACTTTCACAAGCTCCATGAATCTGCCTGCCCTGGACTCTCTGTTTGCACGTGGGATCTTGCCTACACCTTCATTTGATGAACATCTGTCTCTCCCATCATCCTCTGAGCTTTGTGAGAGAAGGCTCAGTCTGACCCTCTGAGGAAACCAACCACTTGGTCCAGAGCCTCTTTTGCACTAATGCCAGCAGATACCAGAATGCCACCCGAAGTCATTCCACCCACCCCTGTACCTTTGGCCAGGGCAGTCCCCAATCGTTGTCAGAGAGCCTGCTCTCTCCCTCCCCCAGGAGTACCCTTTGGCACACAGACCCTGACCTCCCAGACGGAAGTCCTCCCACAGAGCCGGCCTGTACTTACTTCTACAAAGGAATCTCGGTCGTGCTTCTTGATTAGGATGTGTGTGCCGACCACCTGGAGCCTGGCTAACGCACAGGCTGTGGCACACTTGGTCTGGAACGGCACCTGAGTCTCATTCTCAACAAGCTGCTTGCCAACAAGGTCACAGCTGGCCCACAGACCACATTCTGATTAACAAGAATGCAGATGGGTCTGGAGAGATGGAGATGCGATGAAGAGCACTTGCTGCTTTTGCTGAGGATCTGGGTTCAGTTCCCAGCATCCACACCAGCAGGTCACAGCCTCCTGCAACTCTGGATTCTCTGAGTACCTGCATGCATATGGTGCACATAAACTCACACAGGCGCACATACATTCAGATAAATGTTTTAAAATCTTAAAAAAAAAATACAGAGAACCCAGTGACCATCCTCTAGGTATCAATAAAATTAGTCATTAGGCTATTAGGGGGCTTTTAAAATTAGGCTCCATCTCTCCTTGTTCCTATGTGTACCCACCAAACCTCACACCCTGAAAATGAATGGACAGCATTTTTTTTTCTTTTTAATTTGAAATAAACCTTTAAGCAGTTTCCAAGTCAGGTCATCCCCGACATGTACCACGGATGTGTAAAGACTCTCATCTCCAACGATCAAGTCACGCAGCTGGGAGTGCCACTCGGGACCGGGGAAAGCACTCTCTCCTTGGCAGCTGCTCAGCTCTGGCTCCAGCCTGCCATCCACCTGGCAGGCGCTGTCCCAGCAATTCCTCCAGAAGGTTCCGCTCCTTGAAGTTTAGGTTCAGATGCTGGGAGAGGTTCTCTCAGACATGTCTTCCGAGAGCATCATGAACCGAGCGTGTACAGCTAGGCCACAGGATGGAAGTATCTTCGGTGACCTCGAGAATGTGTGTGTGTGTTTGTGTGTGTGTGTGTGTGTGTGTGTGTGTGTGTGTGTGTGTGTGTGTGTGTGTTTTCTGATGTGGCCAGCCATATGTATGCCTGGATATGCATGGATGGATGGATGGATGGGTGGGTGAGTGAGTGGTCAATGTGTGGACTTGCTGTCC